CGCACAAGGAAAGTATGGGAATCAAAAAATTACCGTGAGTGATAGGACCGAAGATAGGAGGGTGTTGGAGTCGTAGCGAGCCAGCTTGAGGAGGACTCCCTCTAGGATAGTTCCGAGCTTTTCATTTAAAATATAAGCCAGCCGCCGTTGCATCTTCTCCAAATTGGCTTCAGTTTGGTTGTGGTATTGGTGCTGCATAAAAGGAACAGAGGAGAAGAACGTGACCTGATGGAAATCAACGAAGAACATTCGCATGTGGGGGCCCCAGAGTGCCGAGTATGGACCGCAGTGGAGAAGCTGTCTAAAAACGACCTTTGCATGCTGTTTGTCAGAACAACCCTGTATAAATCTCTGCATGAACTGAAACCTCAATTTTAAAACTCAGTCCCAAATCAGAACCGTAAACTTACGGTTACTTCTCTTTGACAAAATCGATGCAGCTTTTATTCCTATTTTTACTTTTTCTTTTAAAAGACAGTTGGCTGTTATTTTCATCGTCAACACATTTCAAAACGCATACTAGTAGCTCATTCAATATATATATATATATATATTGAATATGAAATATGATAAAAAAACTAATTGTGCAATAAAAGAATGATATATTTTTGCTTCTACATATTTCTGTCTTTTTGGCACCAAAGATTTCCGTGTGAGATGCAATTTAAAATGTGGATGTGCTGAGTGACACAGCCGACGCCAAAGTAGTAAAACAAAACGTGGCTACTACTACGAAATAAGTAGGCAGACTAATCAAGGTGTTGTGATCATATAATAGATTGTAACCTTGTATGTTCTCCAAGAATTAAGCGAAATGCTGTTCCACAGTTTAGCCTTATGCCCAGAAAGGCACGAAGTCATATCGTTAACTTAAATTGTCACGAAAGCGAGGGTAAAATAAATCCCACATTTAAGGGAGTTAACTAGGATGTTTTACTGCGACATATCCACTCTGGTAAACTGTGATTATTTGCAAAAAGCGCATGGATGAAGAAGCTAGTCGGAGGTTTCTAGATCCCTGAAGAAATCTGTTGCAGCAACCCCGAGCTATAACGCAGGTAAATGGTTAGGCAGCTTTACGAAACGAGAGATCAGCTTAAGAAACTTAGAGCTGACTGACCTAAGTTAAGTGTGACCGGAGGGAAGCGTAGTGAGCCGCTGATTTGATACATACAAAAGGGTAACATCGAAGAACGCCAGGCAACCGTAGCACTTATGGCACCACGAACTTCGGGTTTTACATGCTGAACGTCGAATCTTACTGCTCGATATTATTACGACCCGGCTTAACGTTCAATTCTGATCACTATTCTCAAATGACAAAGTTAGAAGGAAACAAACAGTCACCCGAATTCCTTTCGGGGTGCAACCCTGCTAAATGTTGAGGATAAAATCTCCCTCTTAACTCAGGTTTCACGAGTAAAACCCTTAAAATATTTCCAAAAATATAAATCAAATGAGCTGAAGGTCAGTGATCACTTACTTACACACTAAAAATTTGCCAACTTGTTGAAATTAAACCAGTAACTGTTTGGATTCGGCAATTACACTTTCGGTACTGCGAGGAAGCCACCGAAAAGCAAATAGGTAGTTGTTGTTGACTCGCGACTGACCCCTTGTCTAAGAGTTTATAGTCGAGTACGTAGTTTTAATTAGTAAAAGAGGGAAAAGCACACCTCAGCTGGCCGTTACACTACTTTCTAATTTGCCGCGGACAGCCAACCATGTCACACAATTTCCGGGATGACTGGGATTTCACTAAGCCTAGGCGGACCGAAATGCAGGGCAAATTACTGCGTTCTGCAATCGGGCTAGCGCGAGGTATCGTGCGAAAACTGACGATCACAGCGAACGAACCATGAGACCGTAGCATGAGGGTTACATCACTGCCACTTGTAAAAGTCAGATGCCCCTTTTTAATTGAGAGTAGGAGGGTTGAACAACGAATGGCGACATATATTCGTGCTTCTGGAGCCACGACCTAGACCAACTGCCGTACACGGCAGTTGAATTACTATCGACTAAGCATTGATGTTTTTGGCGCCTTTGAAAAATAGCAATAAGGGAGATCTGCGTTATTGTTAAAAAATACCCACGATTCCTCTCTTTTATAAAGTTTACGGTTACAGTAACAACCACCTTTATGGATTTTGGTGTAAAAATAACGCAAGACAGAAAACAAATCTTGCAATCCAAATTGTCTTTACCCAACCTGATGGAAGAATTTCCCACATGACTTCCAGAGATGTGCATATAAACACGGACTCACAGTAAGTAAACTGGAGTACAACATCCAAGATTTTGGTTGAACATACCCTTATAAGGGTGGAACGCTTGTTGATTCAGGAAAAGTTTCAGGAAGGGCGACTGAGGATACTGAATTAACCCGCAGCGGCGCAGACGGTCGCCGTACGCCTAAATGATTTTTCGCCAAAAGACTTTCATTTTCGACTTCTTGTCTGCCGTGATAAAATTCTGCAGCCTCCTACGCCTTCCAAACAAGTGATGACAGACAAACTGTCACAACAAGGGGCTGTTTTTACTGTAGCTGTCAGTCCGTTGAGACCAAAAATCCGACTTTATCTGATTGCCAGGTCGCGCGGAGTCCAGAATTTGCTTTTCCAGCGTTTGCGTAAACACAACACTTGTGAAATCATTGGGTTTTCATCCTCTCTCACTCTCTGCCTCCCAAAACGGTACTGTTTATTAGTAAAATGGGTCTAAAAGATTTATGGCTTTTTGAACTAACACCTCTAGCCCTCCTTGTTACCCTAATGTCAATGAAAAATAGCCGTTAGTTGTTTTTGGCATTGAGCCAAAGTAATTTATTTTGGATACATTGCGACTGTTACTACTGCACTGCGCAATTCGGATTGTCCCCCTAACTGGCTGCAATTACTCTATCTGTACCCGTACTTACAAAGGGTCTACCTTTATACGCCTGCTGGGCTTAACGTAAACACATAATGTAATCCTCAGTTGGTAAAAGATGGGAAAGTAACTCCCCTAATACAGGTGGCATTGCGCCTACTTTCGGGAACTGTGTCTGTTCCCCACCCTAACAATAATTCCAAAATAAAATGTGCTCGAAACGCCAATTATAACATAATGAAAACACTAACTTCAACCCCGTAGGAGACGGAAATAGGAAGCGCGAGCTTAATTCACATACAGTTTATCCGGAGGGTAAAGCTCAAGTCCGACAAACCGACACTTTTCTTTTATCTATAGATAATCCAATTATCTAATTTATGTAAACAGTACGGCCTAAAATTCGCGTAAAATGCCAACGTATGCGAAAGATTGATACTCTTTCACTACACGGCATTGAGTAAGATTATAATGCTGATTATCGTGTGGTCTATTCTGAAGTCGATTCACTCACCATTGGATGCCGACTTTTAACAAGCTTGTTACTGATCGCTAACAAAACGTGTGTACTGTAAAAACTGGCTTCTTAAGTAGTATGCACTTTGGTCATTGATTTTGACAGCCTTTGCAAAGTTAAGCATATTTTGTAGAAAACATGCACGAAAAAATTATTTATTGCCCTTCTTTGGTACAAAATTATGCCTTCTTTAAATTTTATACTTAAAGAAATGGTATTATTCGGTTTTAAAAGAGTTTCTAAATTGCGGAATATTTTTAAACCTACTGATTGCTACACTTGAATTCAAGGTTTACAAACTGCACGCTGTGTACATCTTGTTTAAGGAAAAGTACGTTTTCGCCGAGAATTATGAGAAAATAGTCACATAGTTCTCCTAAAAGCCTGCAACAGGTGTGGAACACGCTATACACATTATAATCAGTATTAATAAATTGTCGGATGTGATGTACATCGTATAAAAGCTGATGATTGGAAACTTTTTAAAACTAAAAGATACAATTTCTTTAAGTACAAGGGAAAATTTTATTGTGCGCGTTTTCCGCAGAATATATTTGAATTTGTAAAGGCAGTCAAAAGCGATGATAAAATGCATACTACTTAAGTAGCAACCTTTTACGGTGCATCCGTTTGGTTAGCTCGTTAAAAAGCCTGAATGCTGTCGTGACTGAAACGACTTCAGAATATAATACACGATAATCAGTATTACAACCTTACTAAATGCCGATTAGTGAAAAAGTATAAATATTTCGCATATGTCGGCATGTTACACGAATTCTGGGCCGCACCGTATGTATAATCCTGGGATAATCCCTATATATAATCCTCTAATAAAATGGACGAAGATACGAGTTCCACATAAATTATACGTCATATATCCCTTACGTATAATCCTTTAGATATAATCTCTATATATAATCTCAGAATATGCTTCTATCCGTTTATCCTTATATAGTCCCTATATATAAACTCTCAATAACATGGATGAAGGTATGAGGTACAGTTAAATTATCTCGTTATATATCCCCTTTTAATCCCTTATATTCTTATATTTTTAATCCCCATATATAATCCATTAATATTTTTGTATCCTCATATCCGTATATCTGGTTAGCGAATTTGGGATTAGCATCACTCACAGATCCGAAGCGACAATCCGCAGGCAACGCCTGCAGCCTAAAGACTCAAAAGCCGTTAACCAAAAATCCGGGGTCATTTGCCGGATCGACTGTCCTTTTGGTCAAGCCAATTATGTTTTCAAAACCGGCAACCGAGTTCTCACGAGACTGCATGAGCACGAAATCGCCAC